GATGCTTAGATTGTCAGTGGGTCTCAACCTTTCTAATGCCTTGACCCTTTAATATATCATAGTTCCTCATGTTGTGGTGACCCCCCAACCATAAAATTATTTTTCTTGCTATTTTATAACTGTAATTTTGCTACTGTTAATGAATTGTAATGTAAATATCTGTGTTTTCCGATGATCCCTTTTCCCCCCCATTGCCCTCCCCTACCCCTTTTCCCCATGTTGTTTATGTTTAAAATGAAACGAGATTGTAGTTGATAAGTCTTCTCAGAAACACTTTTTACAACCATTGTGGTTTTCAAATGCTGGTCTTTGATGAGGTTTTCATCTGTTCTGTGTTGAAATAAATATCAGAACATTGTAGTGCATGTGGTTTTCATAGCTCATTGATTTTAAGATGTACATTTTCCCACATTTTAGCACTTCTGAAAATGAGGTGTTTTATAGTCAACGGTATCTTAAAATCTTCGTTGTCAAATAGTTGTCACTGCCCACACATCTATGAACTTAATTATTAATTCTGCTGTTATGACTAGACAACTGCAACCCACTGAAGTTTCAACAAACATTCCATTTATGGGAGAGATTACCTACTCTGGGTTGTCTTCTGAAACCTTCTGTTAATTACACCTTCTGGAGATAACTTTTGGTAAGGTAAAAAAATGGCATCAAGTTGCTTAAATAACAGTCCCAGAGGCATGAGAGGAACATTTTTAGAAGAAATATTGCATCACTAATTCTTAAAATGGTACAGAGGTATGATAATATAGAAAAACAAGAATGACTGATGACTGACTTAAAAAAATTAAACACAACAGTGCTGTATGAAAAATCATGTCTAAATAAGCTTAAAAGACTTTTGTGAATAATCTATATTAATAAAAGGATAATATGCTGGTTAGACTGGAGGTCTTCCGGATGTCCCTCCGAACAAAGCTGCAGTGGTTGTGAGGGCCAGGCTGAGGCATAGGCAAGCCACAGATGTGAGGGTTGGGTTGAAGCTGTGGCAGCCGGCAGTGGCAGCAGCAGCAGCATGATGGGGGCACTGCCTTCCCCTGATTGGCTGACCCAGTTGCCTCCCATGGGGATCGGGCGTAAGCCATCAATAGGACATTCCCTGAGAGCTCCCTAACTGTGAGAGGGGGCAGGCCAGACTGAGGCCGCCCCCATTCCGTGCACGAATTTTCTTGCATCGGGCTTCTAGTCCTATGTAATAAAAGCCTAATATGCTAAGTGTCCGGTTGTCCAGCAGTCCGTTCAAATAATCAAAGTGTAATATGCTGATGATATGCTAAGGCCGTTCAACTGCTTACTGTAATGTGTACTGATTGACCATCAGGGGGCAGACAGTTGACTGGTAGGTTAGCTTGCTATTGGGATCTGGCCAACTGGGACTGAGCAAGACAGGCGGACATGCCCTGGAGCCCTCCCGCAGTCCCTCTTCATCCCCGATTGTGCACTGGTGGGGTCCTTCAGCCTGGCCTGTGCCCTCTTGCAATCCAGGACCCCTTGGGGGATCTTGGAAAGCCAGTTTCAGCCTGATCCCACTCAACGCAGGAGCTGCCCCCTGGTGGTCAGTGTGCTTCCACAGGGGGAGTGCTGCTCAGCCAGAAGCTGGGCTCATGGCTGGTTAGCGCAGCTGCGATGATGGAGCCATCTTTCGCCTTTGTGGCAGTGCTAAGGATGTCTAGGAGGAGCGGGCCTAAGCCCTCAGTCAGACATCTCCTGAGGGCTCCCAGACTGTGAGAGGGTGCAGGTTGTGCTGAGGCCTCCCCCCACCCGCTCCCGAGTATGAATTTTGTGTACCAGGCCTCTAGTTGGAAATAAAGCTGTAAGGTAATTGAAACACAGTTTAGATAAATTCTAGGAAAACTAAGTGATAGGTCTATAATCGTTCTCAAGCTTTTAACGTGTATCCTCATTTCCCTCCTCTTAAGAAACTTCATGCCAGAAAGTACAGAATTTCCTACAGGACAGTGGTGGTTTGTTTTTATCTGTTGATTGAGAAAATATGCTTTAAAAAGTAAAAACATTTCCTTAACACTTAAATGGATATATATTTCTTTATATCGATAGTTGACGGGTCTTACATTTACTTTGTTTCTAGGTAAGTATTGGTATGCATAAATATTTGTTGAGTCCTTGTGGGTCCAAGAACTCCCTTTTAAAAAAACATTTTTTTTCATTGATTTTTAGAGAGGAAGTGGAGGGAGAGAGAGAAGGAAAGGGAGAGAAACTTTGATTCAAGAGAGAAACATCCTGTTGCTTCCTGCACATATCCCCAACAGGGGTTTGAATCTGCAACCTGGGCATGTGTCCTGACCAGGAATCGAACCAGTGATGTTTCGATGCATGGGGATGACGCTCAACAAATTGAGCCACATTGGCCAGGGTCAAGACCCTTTTTGGGTTGGGAACTATTGACCTAGACTGCTACTAGAGTGTGGTCCATAGTCTAGCAAATATTGCTAGCACCTGGGGAAAATGTTAGAAATGCAGAATCTGAGGCCCTGCCCCAGACCTGTCAGATCAGAATTGGCATTTTAACAAGATCTTCCGGCGGTTGCAATTCACGTTGAACTGCACGTTGTTTGAGAAGAGTTAATCAAATACATGATATTTGTTCAGATTGAGGAGACCAATGATTGAATTTTATTTTATTTTTTGGTGTGGGAGGGGGAAGAGGGCTAGGAGGAGCTGGCCAGAGTTAGGACAGTATAAAAAAACAAATTTGACTTCACTTAATTATAATATCTTAGAATGGTTCTGATAATTAGCTGCATAGGAATTCCTGAAAAGGAGGTGTGTATTTGTTTGTATGTGTGTTTAATGTCTGTGGTTTTGTCACCATGCAAATAAACTTATTAGTGAAATATTATTTGATTCAAGGGGGATTCAAACAGAAGTGTTACTGAATTGCTAACAGCACATTGTTTATTGTCTATTTCTTAAGGAAATACCTTAACATTGTTCTTTTGGGAATTTACTTTTATTATTTTATCCAAAGTAGTACATGCCCATTTGTCCTTCACATAACCATGGAGTAGTTTGCTAGGATTGAACAGTGCTTAATTTTTCCATTCATCAGTGTGCCTTCAAATCCAGTGGTATTTGAAAGACAAAATACATATTCTATATCATCTTCATGTATTTAAGGAGACCATATTGCCAAATATCCTCTTTGGAAGGACTGAAATTCATTTTTTTTATTTGACTGTTTATAGATCAACAATTAAGCAACCATTCTATATAATAAAAGGCTAATACACAAGCTGTCCCCTCTACCAGGAGTTTGACTCGGAGTTCATCTGGATATTTGGCCAGGGAGTGGGGCCCAGCTTGCCAACCGCCCATGGCCCCTTTTTCCGGCTGGCCCTGCCCCAGATTGCCCCCCCCGCCCCCCCCCCGAGAGGGGCCGGCTGGACTCTACCGGTGCACTAATTTGTACTGGGCCCCTAATATAGATAATAAATAGATTGGAGTTCAGCTTTAATCTTAAGATTCCTCTGTAGAAACTGGTCCTTGTCTAGAAGAAATGATAAGAGAAGGCTTGGTTTAGTGCTTAAAATCACTGAGATTGCTATCAAAAGAGTGTCTGAATTGGAAGATATTTTCTTTGCTGTTATAAGGCTTTCAATTTCTGTTTCACAGACTTCCTGTAATATGGAAATATTTAGAATACTTATTTTGTTAATATGAAATTTATTAGGCTGTTAAAAATTTAACTTTCTATTTTTCCTTGAGTTAATGAGATTATTTCATATAAGTTTTTTGGTGATTGTTCTTTTTTAATATATTTTATTGATTTTTTATAGAGAGGAAGGGAGAGAGATAGAGAGCTAGAAATGTCGACTAGCTGCCTCTTGCACACCCTCTACCGGGGATGTGCCCGCAACCAATGATCATGCCCTTGACCGGAATTGAACCTGGGATCTTTCAGTCCGCAGACCAACGCTCTACCACTGAGCCAAAGCGGTTTCGGCTTGGTGATTGTTCTTAAATTTAAGTTTAAAAAATAAACTACATTGTTTGAGTGCCGAGTCAGACTTTTTTTTTTTTTTTTTTTTTTTTTGTATTCTGGCAATTCACAGAGTAAATTGGTTGTCATAAACTTGACTTGTTTATGAATATATACAGAAGATTTCCAAATTACTACACAGTTAATCTCAATGGATATTTTGAAAATAAGAATGAGAAGAAACAAAGAGATACTATTTCTTATCCATCAAATTGGCAAAAATTAAAAAAATTCTGAGAATATCCAGTATTGATAAGGATATACAGAAATGAGAATTTTTAACCATTGCTGATGTTGGAGGAAAGTAATTTAAACCAAAGCCTCCTGCCATCTCAGAAAACCTCTCTTCAAAGGTAGAAAAGAAAGAAAACAATTCAATGTTTGAAGAAACATTAATCTAGAATGTGATGCATATCATGGGCAATCTAAGAGATTGCAAAGCCTACAGAGAATTCACCCTCTTATGTAGTTACATACACGCTCTCACGAGAAGCACTCAAGTAAGAAGACTGATGGCAACATTTGTCACACATAGTTTAAACTAAATTCACTTGGTTGTTGAGGTGACCAAATATACTGTCTTTAGCTAATTGGCTTTATCTAAAGGAAAAAATTAACATTTTTTATGTTTTGGTGTTTAAAAAACATTTACTTAATTATTTTCATTCATATACTAACAGTTTTCTGTTTCTTCCTTTATTTTGTTTAACCCCTCAAATTGTAGAGCATATTGTTCTGGAATGAAGACTGTAGCAAAAAATAAGCAAATGGATAAAAGCAAGTTTGGTTTATTTAGTATGTGATCTTAACATATTGCTTGCTAGAGACTTTGTACGTTAAGTTGCAAATATTAACATCCAAACTCATGATCCCGCCGCCCATTAAGCTATTTTAGTCCAATAGATTTAATGAGGGCTTTGTGTCATGTGTGGTTGTCTATAGTACATTGCTTTGCTGACTCCAGTTTTCCTTTCTCTTTTTATAGGACCGCAGCTGAATGCACAGCTGGAAGGTTGGCTTTCACAAGTACAGTCTACAAAAAGACCTGCTAGAGCCATAATTGCACCGTAAGTTTTAAGGGTCTTTACCCAGAATATTTTACATGTTAATTGTTAATAAAGAATGAGTATCTGCAGGTTGAGCTATAAACCAAAACCCAAAAGACATATTGAGCTGACAAAATTGTATTCAGTAAATTTCATGATTCCCGTGGCTTTCACTTTAACTGAAGGATAAAGGAAATTGGCGTATTTTCTCAGATGCAGTAATTTCAAAATTTATTTTTGGCAATAAAACTGCCTTTTAAGACAGGTGGGCTGTTTACATTAGGTAAACTTGGAGATTTTTGTATTTATTGGTAGAAATGAATAAGTTCTATTTTAAACATTAAAAAGATCTACTTTAATCCAGATAATTTTTAGCTTATAATGAAAAATATGCTTTAACCATAATACAGTGCAATATGGAGTAGCAACCAAAGTTTTGTTGGAGGGGTAGATTTTTTTGTAATGGAAATCTGTGACTCTCTTCAATGTTAGAGGGCTTTTTAAAAGAACCGAGGGATAGCAAATAATACAGTTAATGATGTGTCTGTGTCTGATATGAATTCAGTTAATTTTGATTTGGTTTCCAGTGCTAATGTTCAAAACACATTGTTTTTTAAGCACATGTTAACATTTTTCTGAGAAGAGTAAAAGTTGGAGTTTGTGGAGTTTCTTCTCACAGCAGCATCTTTTATGACTTCTATTGAGTTAAGGTTGGTACCCTGATAAATAATAAATAGTGAAAATAATAATAGCAACCATTCATTAAGCAATAGGATAATTAAATGATTAAATACACATAAAGAGCCTACATTAATGTTTGGCATGTAATAAGTATTCCAGAAATGCTAGGTATTTTATGTGCCAAACATTTTGTTAAGTACTTCATTTGTATGTTCTAACTTGATCTCATTTCATAGATACAGGACAGCTTTGTGACATACAAGTTATTTAATCTCTTGTGCCTTTATCTCATTAGTATAATTGGAATAATAGTAGTTCCATATTCTTTTTTTGATGATTAAATGAACAAGTCTTTATAAAACTTTCAGCACAATGACTTGTAATTATTTATTTAGTCATTCAGCAAATATGTACCAGGCTAAATGCCAAGTACTCTTCTTTGTGATGCTTTTTGAATAAGTCAAAATCACTTCTCTCATAGTGCTTACATTTTAGTGCCCAGGGAAGACAGACAGAAAACAAATGATTATATTCAGTGTCAGGTGCTTATGGGTGCTAAGAAGAAAAATAAAGCAGAAAAAAAGATTGAGAGCCACATGTGAGCAACTTTTTTATAAGATAATCAGAAGTAACATCTGAGCCTAAATGATGTGAGAGAGAAGTTATGCAAATACCCAGGGAAAGAGGGTTTCAGGATGGGGAAAGCAAGCACAAGGGTCTAAAGCAGGATATGCTTAGTGGACTTGAGAAAAAGCAAGAAGGCCAGTGTAGCTGGAGAGGCTGAAAAAGGTAGTGGATGCGAGGCAGCAGGGACTAGATCATGGAGAAGCTTTGTGGACGAACATAAAAACTTGGGTTTTTATTCTAAGTGAAATGGCTACTCAGAAGTTTTGAGCAGAAAAGTGACATGATCTGCCTTAGCTTAGAAAAGGATTACTTTTGCCTCCTGTATAGATATTCTGTTTTATGGGAACAAGGAGCCAGTTTGGGAGGCTTATTAGAATAGTACAGATAAGAGATGACATAATGGCTTTGACTAAGGCAGTGGCTCTCAACCTTTCTAATGCCGCGACCCTTTAATACAGTTCCTCATGTTGTGGTGACCCCCAACCATAAAATTATTTTCATTGCTACTTCATAACTGTAGTTTTGCTTCTGTTATGAATTGTAGTGTAAATATCTGTGTTTTCCGGTGGTCTTGGGCTCTACAGCAGCAGTTCTCAACCTGTGGGTCGTGATCCACAGGTTGAGAACCGCTAGCAGGGTCGCTTAAGACCATTGGAAACACAGATATTTACACTATGATTCATAACAGTAGCAAAATTACAGTTATGAAGTAGCAACGAAAATAATTTTATGGTTGAAACCGGTTTGGCTCAGTGGATAGAGCGTCGGCCTGTGGACTGAAAGGTCCCTGGTTCTATTCCAGTCAAGGGCATGTACATTGGTTGCGGGCACATCTCCAGTAGGGGGCGTTCAGGAGGCAGCTGATTGATGTTTCTCTCTCATCAATGTTTCTAACTCTATCCCTCTCCCTTCCTTTCTGTGAAAAATCAATAAAATATATTAGAAAAAATAATTTTATGGTTGAGGGTCACCACAACATGAGGAACTATATTAAAGGGTCGCGGCATTAGAAAGGTTGAGAATCACTGGACTAAGGACTACTGGTTGGGGTGATGAGAAGCAATGGATATATTTTGTATATATTTTGAAGGTAAGGACCAATAAAATAGAAGAGTCAAAGATAACTTGTTAGTTTTGGCCTGTGAAACTGGAATTGCTTTTGAGAGAGAAGTTAGGCAGATACCCAGGGACAAACTGGTGGAAATTGGGAGTAGAAGTGTTTATGTAGAATCTAGGATTTGACTTGGACCATGTTAATGCTTAGATGCCTATTAGCTATGCAAGTGGAGATTTAAAATGGGCAGCCACATACAACCTGCAGCCTGTTTTGGTGTGTATATCACAGGCTGTAGTTGCCTATGGGGTAAAGTAAGATAGAGAGGAGAAGAGGTTCAAGGACTGAGCCCCTTAGGCAAACACAGTTTTATTTAGAGGGCAAATAAAGACGAAAATGACATTTGCAAAGGAGGTACTGAAGGAAGACCAGTGAGCAAGGCGGAGAACCAAGGGTGAGTGCTGTTTCTGGGTGGCAGAAGGATGAAAGAGGTGTCAGGGAAGATAAAGGCTCGACCCTATCAGATTCCGCCAATTGATCAAATAAGATAGGGATTCAGAATTGATAATTGGATTTTGCAGTGTGGACATTGCTGGTTACCTTGATAAGAACAATATTTGTGGCCTGGTCAGTGTGGCTCAGTAATTGAGCGTTGACCTATGAACCAAGAGGTAACTGGTTCGATTCCCAAGCAGGGCACATGCCTGGATTGTGAGCTCCATCCCCAGTAAGAGAGTGTGCAGGAGGTTGCTAATAGATATTTCTCTCTCATTGATGTTTCTATTTCTCTCTTTTTCTTTAAAAAAGCAATTTTTGTGGAGTGATGGGGATAAAAGCATGATTGTTGTGGATTCAAGAAAGAATGTGATAGTGAGATGAAGATTGTGAATGTAGATTTTTTTAAGGAATTTTGCTGTAAACTAAGGAAATAGGGTAATGGGAATATGGTGTCAGGGGAGAAATTTTATTCAAGATGGAAGATAATCTGAGTGTTACAATGTTGATGAAATGATTTAGTTAGAAAGAAAAATTGATACAGGGATAAGAGGGGAAGTTAAGTGAGATCATTGATTGGGTGAGAAACAGTGGATCTCTTTACAGTAACGTATGAGCTATGTTGTATTGTCTTGCCCATTACTTTGTTGGTATTTGATTATTATGGTATGCTACCTTCCTAGTTAGAACTTGTTCTAAATGTGGGAGCTGAGCTGAATAAATGTATAATTAAGTTGAGGTTAGTTATAACTGGACTTGTTTCCTTCTTGCAGTTAGTTTAAAGTTGAAATCATTGGCAGTGACCTGGGAAAAGAAATGTTTGCACCTGTTACAAATACATTGATTTATAAAAGATTTCCAAGTTACCTTGAGTTTTAAAATGGAAATTTGAAAATAGTTTTGACTTTGGTGTGCATGTTTTTGCTGCATGGTGACTTTGTAATGTTAATGCTTATATAGGCAACATCCATTTTGTTAACGTATGAAAACTAAGTAGTTACGTGTCTTATTATATAGTTCCCAGAAGTAATTATTTTCCTTTGCAGAGTAACTTGTTTTTTTTTTTTTTTTTTTGTAGAAAAGTAACAACAAATACTTTATTGTTATATAGGCACAAATTTTTTTTTAGTAAGAATATATTATATAGTAATTTAGGACACTTAAAAATTTAAGATTTCTGCTTTATTTCAAATCAAGCCTATAAAAATACTTTAAATTTTATAAATTCTAGCTCTCTGGAACCAACTTTTCTTAGATTTTGCTTTATATACATAAATCATATAAGGGGAACCTAAAAAAAAAACTCAGAACCTAGATAACACACTTTTGAAAGTGCTTAAAACAGATTGCTCATTTAAAAAAAAATATTTTATTGATTTTGTACAGAGAGGAAGGGAGATAGAGAGTTAGAAACATCGATGAGAGTCATCGATCAGCTGCCTCTTGCACACCCCCTATTGGGGATATGCCTGCAACCAAGGTACATGCCCTTGACCGGAATTGAACCCGGGACCTTTCAGTCCCCAAGCCGACGACGCTCTATCCATTGAGCCAAACCGGTTTCGGCTCATTTTTATATTGGTGTAGATGAATTAGAATGATGTCATTTAAGAATAAATATTGACCCGTAAACCACTGTTGATCAAGCTTAATGAATTCTAGCCTATGTGACATATAGGAAGGCACATTTGAGGGAATCAAAATAATTTAATTTAATTAAAAAAATTGTTTGTTTGAACTTAGAACTACCTTACTTCTCTTGAGGCACAGGAGACAGTATGTGTCCCATGGATATATACTGAAATGATCTCATGAACTAGGAGTTCCAAAAACCTTTCTACTATGACGGCCAAAATTGTTGTTTGTCTTGAAGTATGCAGGAATATCTCAGCAACCCTTAGAATGGAGCTGTACAGGTATGCATCACTTAAGAAACTCTTATTGAATATAAAAATATAATCAGATCATTGGTAAGGGCCTTATTTTTTACTATATACCAGATACTATATGAATATTGAAGCCCCCCTCATATATGTAAGGTAAAGTTTTCCATGTTAGTAGTTAACCTAGTAGTAGTTTCACTTTTCATTGTTTATCCTTCTCTGTTTGACTTTTTCACTATATATACTTGTATTACTTCTAGTATAAAAATTAGTTTAGAAAAGTTAAAAGGTAGGAAACAGTTGTATAGAATACCAGGTTGTGTACAGTGAAGTATACCTGTAGAGCTCTTAGTGGTCTGTATCATGAGACAATGAATCTTTGTAAGTTACTTAGTTAATTTAAGTTACTTGAAGTATGCAATTTGTTTATTTCTCACCCTTATTTAACAATAGGTTATTCATGCCAATATCTGAAATCCTATAAAAAAAAATCTAGATATGCAACATTATGGTTAGTTTATTCTTGTTTGACTTGAATAACTTTAATAACATTCTTTAGCTCATAGCTTACTTAATTTTTGTGAGATTCCATTTTGTAAATATAAAATATCCTGAATAATGACTAACCTGGACATTTTGGGGGGATATAATCTATTAATATTTCTAATGGCAGCAGGAATCTTGAGGGCCATTGAGCAGTGCCTGTGAAACAAAATAATGAAAGGCTAGGCAGCAAAATAAAATTGAGAGAGGCATTGTGGAAGCTGCAAACTTTTAAGGCCACTTGTCAGGTTGGTCCCATATGTTCACAGGTGTTTTTAAATTTAGTTTCTAGCTTGCCAGACCATACTTTAGCTTAAGTAGATCTTAGAAACTTTTCTTACCTAGAATCTTTTCATTTCATCTAGTCCTATCTTTTTAATTTGATTTTTTGCTGCTATTAAGTAGAACTAGTAGTATGAGAACCTGATTTTGTTGAATCCAAATAAGCATTCTTTGCTATTCCCTATATCCTCTTTGATAAAAAGCCTCTCATAGAATGTGAGGTAATTTCCTGGCATTACAATTTATACTATTCACCTATAATCTTGGCAATCTGAGACTGAACAAGGGCAAGTCCATGTCATGTGGTATTGGATATTTCTCCTGACATAGGAATTTAAGTTATGCCATGCTGCAAGGTTGCTGTGTGGGAAACTGTCACTTAGCCAGTGCATGATCATTGATAGTGGCCTTGTGTCCTCATTTGACTGTACCTCTTTGGGGGCACAGAAATTCTAGACAGTTAAGAGCTGGACTTGCTAGTGTAAAGGGTCTGTTGTGTAGGATTAAGGGAGAAGCAAAAGTACTCTGTTAAAAGAAGGACCCATTTTAGAGGTATGGTTTAGCCTAATGATAACTTGTAGGTATTAAAGTATAATTTTGTATTTGCTTTCATGGGAAGTTAACTGGGAGCTAGGGTGACCTGTAAAAGTTAGCAGGGATGACTTTGTGTTTAGGATTTTAATAGCTTTTAGAAGACTGACTGGACATGCTTTTATGATGCATACTCAAAATTATAAAGCTCAGATTTTTATTGGTCTTCTGGCTATTAAGTACAAAAGGAAAAACATTTAGATGTTCCCTTAGTGATGCCTCCTTTAATAGGAGTGATCCCTTAATGAAACCTTGTTTCCACATAAATGTAGATTCTATTGGCAAGAGAAGTGGGCAGGAACAGAGGATCAGTGGTATGATATGATGATTGTTACTGTGGCTTTTTTTCATTATATCTGGGCCATGGTAAAGGAAAGTATTAGAAATTCTCTTCTTTGACTATGAATGAATTAGAGTTTCTCATGATGAGGGCTTAGAAGGGTGATATATTTAATGATTTTTTTTTTGGCAATATATTTTTATTGATTTCAGAGAGGAAGGGAGAGGGAAAGAGAGGTAGAAACATGAATGATGAGAGAGAATCATTGGTTGGCTGTCTCCTGCATGCCCACACTGGAGAGTGAGCTCACAACCCAGGACATTCCAACAACTGAACCATACTGGCCAAGACAGATGAGGATCATTTAAAAAAATAGAGCTTCATTGTGGTATGATTAATATCTGCATATATGTAAAGTGTACTATTTGATAACTTTGAGATATGTGTGCACCTATGAAACTGTCACCGCTATTAAGATAATGAACATATTCACCATCTCAAAATTTTCCTTGTGCACTTTTGTAATTCTTCTTTCACATCCACTGATGTATTTTCTATCACTATACAGGATGGGGCAAAAGTAGGTTTAGAGTTTTGAGTATGTGAAACATGAAGTTCATTCTTATTTATTTTTTAAATATATTTTTAAATTAATTTCAGAGAGAAAAGAGGAGGGAGAGAGAGAGAAACACCAATGATGGGAGAGAGAGAGTCATTGATTGGCTGCCTCCTACATGCTTTCCATTGGGGATTGAGCCCCCAACCTGGGCATCTGCCCTTGAGTCTGCAGTCGACGCTCTATCCACTGAACCAAACCAGCTAGGGCTATTTATTAATTATTGTCTTATTTTCCATACAAACAACTGGAAACCTACTTTTGCCCCATCCTATAGATTAATTTTTATTGTCTAGAGTTATTTAAATGGAATCATATAGTATGAACTTTTATGTCTGGTTTTTTTCACTTAGCATATTTATTTATTCCTTTTTACCATTTTTAAGCATAATCATTTTGAGTGTATTGGTAGTTCATTCCTTTCTATTGCCCAAGAGTATTTTATTATATGGATACATCTCAATTTATTTATCCATTCACCTTTTGAGGGTCATTTAGTTGTTTCCAGTTTTTGGCTATTGCAATAAGCAATGAAACTAGGTTGTACAAATCTTTGTTTGGATACATGTGTTTTTTTTATTTGTTTTGTTTTGATTTGTTTTTTCCTTATAAGAATGGAATTTTTGGGTCATAGTGCAAGAGTATGTTAAACTTTTTAAGAATTTGCCAACTATTTTCCACTGTAGTTGCAGCCATCCCTTGGCCATGAATAAGAGTCAAGCTAAAAATCAATGGAAACATTCTTTGATAGTCAGTTGGCTACATGGAATTTGCAATAAAAAGTATTATAAATATTTCCATTGTTTTTTGAATTGTGTGGTACATATCTTTTTAATTAAGTAAAATTTATAAGCTTATTTACGTGTGTGTGTGTAAACACACACACATACACACACAAAATCCCACTTCTCCACCTGCAGAACCAGTTATTAAAATTTTACCAATATATCATACCACACATTAATGAGAAAACACTAAGGGAAATGTTTCTAGACATGTAACTTGAATGAGTCAAGAAAGAAAACTGAGTTCCAGAAATAGTTATTCAATCTTACCTAATAATAGACAAATGTCCACAGCCAATCAGAGTGAGTATGCACATTAACCCCACAAAAATGGTGGTTAATTTGCATACGTAGGCGGCCAGCGGCCTGGGTCCCAGGAACATTCTCGTCACCCAGGTCACTCTGAGATAGGCCCTGAGCAGCCTGGGATGGGCCTGAGCCAGGGGGCTCCTGGGTAGGGCTGAGCCTGCAATCAGAGCCCAGGGGCGGAGCCAGCAATCGGAGGGAGCTGGTGGGGGGGGGGGGGGCCTGCCCAGGCCCTGAAGCTTTAGGCCTGTGCAAGGGCTGAGCTGGCAATCTGTGAACTACAGAGGAAACACCTTTTTCTGACCACTCATTGGCTGAGCTCCTTGTATGCCACTGGTAATGTTCTTGGTAACTTGGGTAATAAGAATCCAAAAAGGTGATCTAGGGTTTTTCCATGACACTTTTGGAGAAAAAACACAAAGGTCCACTGCTGGAGGGCTAAGAAATGTCATATCCTGCCGTAGTCAGTTTGGCTCAGTGGATAATGCCTTGGCCTGCTGACCACAGAGTCTGGGATCACTTCTGATCAAGGACGTGTACCTAGGTTGCAGCCTCTTCCCTGGCTGGGGCCCAGGTCAGGACTCATGCAGGAGGTGTTCCTCTCACTTTGATGTTTCTCTCTGTCTTTTCCTTTCTCTTCCACATTCTCTAAAAATCAATGGAAACATATCCTTAGGTGAGGAAAAGAAAGAAAGAAAGAAAGAAAGAAAGAAAGAAAGAAAGAAATGTCATATCCTATGGAAGATACATCTTGAAATGCCTAAAGAAAGTCATTTTTTCATGGTGAGGGGACTGAAGTTCATATTGATGAAAACACCTTAGTGGCTGCCGTGACTTGCAGTGGCTGCAGCAGCGGGGTGATGGGACTGGCACCTTCCCCTGATCAGCCTGGTCTCCTCCCACAAAGGGAGGCCAGACTGTGGCCTAGGTCCGCTCCATGGGGAGCGGGCCTCAGCCATCTGTAGGACATCCCCTGAGGGCTCCCAGTATGTGAGAGGGGCAGGCTGGGCTGAGGGACACCGCTCTCCCCCATTGCATGAATTTTGTGCATGGGGCCTCAAGTAGGTGATAAGAAATCTAATCTGATGCTGAGATCAGAGGATAAGAGTGTATAATGGATAGAGAAAATGAAAGGCATAATACACAGAAGGCCAAGTCAATTCTCTCTCTAAAAACATATTTTATTGATTTCAGACAGGAAGGAAGAGGGAGAGAGAGAAAACCATTAATGATGAGAGAAAATCATTGATATTGATAGGCTGCCTCCTGCATGCCCCCTCCTGAGGATCTAGCAACCTGGGCATGTGCCTCTGACTAGAATCGAACCCGGGACCCTTCAGTCCACAGGCTGCCGCTCTATCCACTGAGACAAACCAGCTAGGGCCTAAGGCAGTTCTCAACACTGAAGACACAGGGAATTGAATTGTTAGTTGGAGGTTATTTGTTTTGGTCTGATTTGACTTGTTCTTGGTCTTATTGTTATGTAATACTGTTAGTTGTATTAAAAAGAAATGTTAAAATCTCATACAGCATTAATGTTACATTAGCCACTTCAAGTAAGCCTTGGTTATTTCCAAATCAAACTTTTCTTCTGACCCCAAAAATTATTCGATACTTTTTAAAATTTAAAGCTGGAACACAGCACAATTATGTGTTCACTGTTATTGCTTCAAAGTTGCATTATTACTTACTTTGCTTTTTAAATTATATATTTGTTGTTTATCATAATTATTACATATTTTTTTCAAAAGTTTTTTTCCAGAATATCTTGATTTTTGAATCTGATGATTAAGTTTAAAAATTTTTGTTTTGTAGCCATGCAGGATATACTTACTGTGGGTCTTGTGCTGCTCATGCTTACAAACAAGTGGACCCATCTATTACGTAAGTAATATAGAGAAGAATTTGTTATGGGATGATGTTGGGAAATGTAATTGTTTTGTCACTGAAGTAATTTGTTTTGCATACTTATTATATACTCTTATTTCATTAAGAATTTGACTTTTTATGAGTTTGACTCTGTCTTTTACAGGTTTTAGAAAGCTCTAATACTATTTCTATTCTCTGAACCTTTAGTTTTTACCTTCCCTTTGGTGGGTAAAATGTTCAATTATGGAAATGTTAGAAGGTTAGTGTGATATAGTGATTTATACAAAATGTATTTCTCATGTATATTTGGTCTTATGCTTAGCCACAGTTCCTGATGCGCACACAGGTCCCCAAACCCTTGGAATCACCTAAATGTTCGATATGATAAAAGTACCTCCTGTTATAGAGGTATAATGAGGTGGCTTTGGGATCCCCCCTAAGGATAGGGGCTGGTTGCCAGGAGAACCAATTATGATTAGAGAGTGGGAACTTTCCAGTCCCACTCCTGACCTCGGGGGGTGAGGAGGGCCTGGAGGTTGAATCAGTCTCCAGTGCCCAATGATTCAATCAATCACAGCTATGTAGTGAAGCCTCCATGAAACCCTGAAGGACAGGGTTCAGAGAGCTTCTACGTTGGAAAGATCCAGGGGAGAGTGACACTCTGGGGAAGGCATGGAGGTTCCACTCCCTTTCCCCAGACCTTACCCTGTGCATCTCTTCTAACTGGCGGTTCCTGGTTACATCTGCTTATAATAAACCAGTGGTTTTTGTAACTAAAATGTTTCTCTGAGCTCTGTGAGCTGCTTTAGCAAATTAATTGAAGCTAAGGAGGGGGTCATGGGGACCTCTGATTTATAGCCAGCTGGTTAGAAGTACAGGTCAGAAGCCTGGCATCTGAAGTGAGGGTTTGGGGAGCAGTCTTGTAGGACCGAATGCATAACCTGTGAAATCTGATGCTATCTCCAGGGCGAGTGTTCAAGAATTGCTTGTTGGAGGTGTGGGAAGCACCCCCCACCCCCACGTACTTTGGAATTGGTTCCAGGAACACTAACAGTTAAATATGCTGGTTTAAAAAATTTCATTGGGAAAACCTGGAGATGAGTATTTTTAGGAAAATACAAAGCCCTTTATTCTACTTTAATCATTTGTAATTTAAAATTCTTTATTGCAATTCATAAAAGAAGAATAATTTCTCATTGACAGGATAAGGTTATCTGAATTATTTTAGAATTGGACATCATATTTCATATGTTTGAAGGATATAAGTATTTAATAATTTAAAGACAGCTCTGAAATTAGCTTTATAAAGATCTTTCTGGCAAATTGTGACTGAGTAGTATACTGTTGTAGAGGTATAATGAGGTGGTATATATTTCTCTAAAATGAGAAACATGTGAACTTTCAAAAATTTCTACTGAAAATTGCCATCAAAATTACTGAATTTTCTGACCACCATTTTATTTAAATAGTTAATTTACTACCTTTGAACCAGTATCAGGGTCCAATCTGTATTGCTAGTTGTTTCATAATTGATAAAATTAGTCATCTTAATTTTATTTCATGTTGTTAGTAGCAATACTAGTAATAGCAGTACATCTCTACTAGTAGAGATGGAAGCATAATCATTCAAAAGAACTAATCCACAGCAAGAGTTTAAGAAACAAGTCTCACCCACAGCCTACTCTTTTTCCTTTGAGCAATTTTTTCAGTTTTTAAAACAAAACTGCTCTTTCTTGTTTCTGTGTAGTGTGCTCTGCACATTGTACTGTATCTTTGTTGAAAATTAATTTTAGTAAGTTTTAAATAATAAATAAAATGATGTTGCCAAATTGATGAGATTTTGGTTAGCCCTGCTTCATTTTGATGTTGAGGGGCTTTAATAAATATTTCTTGATACATGTTTAATATGCAATTTTAGCGAAATTATTTCATGAATAAGAACAAATAGAAGTTAGATTGTAAAGATTTTCTAAGTTTTCTTTATTTGATCCTGAATCTGTGAACAATCTGCCTCAAGGTTAGTTTATGTAATAGATTTTTCCAAATATTTTTCTATTTGGAAGAATCTTTATTGATGATGATATGTGCTGGAAAGGTACTCCTGAATTAAATTTGTCCTTAGAATACATTAGAGATATTTGGAGCTAGTTTTGGTAGAAGTGGAAAGTTTGTGTTAAATAGTTTGATTGAAAATGAGAATGGAAGGAAAAAAAGAATAAAAACTGATGAGGATGCCGAAACCGGTTTGGCTCAGTGGATAGAGCGTCTGTCGGTCTGTGGACTGAAAGGTCCCGGGTTCGATTCCAGTCAAGGGCATGTACATTGGTTGCGGGCACATCCCCGGTGGGGGGTGTGCAGGAGGCAGCTGGTCGATGTATTTCTCTCATCGATGTTTCTAGCTCTCTATCCCTCTCCCTTTCTCTCTGTGAAAAATCAATAAAATATATTTAAAAAAAAAAAAGTGATGAGGATGAAGGACTAAGAAGATGATGGAGATCAGTAAAAAGTGAGGCAAATGGTAGATAGTGATGTAATCAGCTTATTTTTGCAATTAATACATAATAATTGAATTCTGAATAAATAAATGGAAAGTCTGAGTGTTAAAAATAATAATGGACAGCCATATTTGTATTCTTTTGAGAAAACCCCTCTCTGAGATTTGCAATATCTTCAGAGTCCTTTGAGGAAACAAGAAAAACATCCTTTTGGGAATTATGTGAAGTATCTACACTAATAAAAGGGAAACATGCAAATTAACCATCACTCTGGTACACCCACCAGCCAATCAGGAGTGGGTATGCAAATAAACCCAACTAAGATTAGCAGCAGCCACAGAGCTGGAGGGAGCAGGAGGCTTGAGTTGCCCCTGGCGATGGAGGAAGCCAAGCTTCACGCCAGCTCTGGCTGGCCATGGCCTCCAGTGAAGGCTACAAAGTTTCAATTAAAGAAGGTAAATAAATCCCAGATACCCGCTTCCAGCTGGCACTGGCCTCTGCTCAAGGAGGCGCTAAAAAAGGAAAGTAAAGAAAAAAATAAAGCCTCTTACCCAGGCTGGCCACACCCCCATGGGGTAAGGGTCCCCGTTGGGGGGCTTGGCCAGCCTGCAAACAGCCATCAGCTCTTACCCAGGCTGGCCACATCCCCATGGCCCGATATCTGTAAATGGGCATTTGAACTATCCCTCTAGGGTTCCCAGATTGGAGAGGGTGCAGTCTGGGCTGAGGGATTCTCCCCGCCCCCTCCCCCATGTACAGATTTTGTGCACCAGGCCTCCAGTAGAGGAATAATAAAGAACAGTTCAACAGTGAAGGTTAAATTCTATTCTATTAGCTTCCAATCTTTTCACACTAGTCCATTTTCTACATGTAAATCAGATCATCTTTGTACTCTCCTGCTCTTTGAAGGGATCTTTTACCTTTACATGATTCTTTGCAACATCTTGCATAGAATATTTGTTTATTGAGTTATGCAGATCTTTCAAATGTTGACATTTATTATTCAGTGTCAAAAAAAATCACATTTGTTCATGTTACCACCAGTTTCATCAGAAAAATCTTCGAACTCTTGGGAAACTGTCAACTTCACAGGGATGGAAGTTTTGCAGAAGTCTAATTTTCACTTAAAAGCTTCAATTTTATCATTGGCAACAAACATGTCAAATTTTTTCTTTGAAATGGCAAGCTCATTTTGATCATCTTCTTAGAAAATTTCTGCCAACTATCTAAATTGAAATAATCATAATTTGTCTAGCTCACAACTCAGTCACACTAATGCTTTTCCCTGAGACATACTCTGTATGCAGCAGCAGTGCTTTAAGCATGTAGCATCACAAATTAAATGTATTTTTTCATACAGAATATTTTTATAAAATTATATTCAAATTTCAAGACTTAATGAAATTAAGTGAAACTGGCCTTAAGAAAAAATCCCACAACCATCGCACCAAAAAAATTAAGATACCTAGGAATAAACTTAACCAAGGAGGTAAAAGACCTATACGCAGAAAACTACAGGACACTGGAAAAAGAGATAGAGGAAGATGTAAACAGATGGAAGAACATATGTTCATGGATCGGTAAAATCTACATAATTAAAAAGTCCATACTACCCAAAGCAATCTATAGATTCAATGCACTCCCCATTAAAATACCAACAGCATATTTCACAGACCTAGAAAGAACTCTCCAAAAATTTATCTGGAATAAAAAAAGACCCCAAATAGCCACAGCAATCCTGAGAAAGAAGAATAAAGTAGGAGGGATCTCAATGCCAGATTTCAAGCTGTATTACAAAGCCACTGTTCTCAAAACAGCCTGGTTCTTACATAAGAACAGACATATAGACATGTGGAATAGAATTGAAAATCCAGATATCAACCTAAGCCACTATGCTCAATTAATATTTGACAAAGGAGGCATGAACATACAATGGAGTCAAGGCAGTCTCTTCAATAAATGGTGTTGGGAAAATTGGACAATACATGCAACAACAAAAAAATGAAACTAGTTCACCAACTTACAAAAATAAACTCAAAATGGATACAGGACTTAAATATAAGATGGGAAACCATAAAAATAATAGAGGCATCCACAGGCAGCAAAATCTCAGACATAACCTAAAGAACTTCACTGATACTACTCCTAGGTCAATAGATGCTAAAGAGAAAATAAAATAAACAAATTTAAAAAGCTTTTTTACAGCAAAAGAAACCATCAACAAAACAACAAGAAAGCCCACTGTATGGGAGAACATATTTGCAAATGTTATCACTGATAAAGGTTTAACCTCCACCATCTACAGGCAACTTATACAACTTAATAAAAGGAAGATAAATGATCCAATAAAAAAATGGGCAATGGACCTAAATAGAATCTTTTTGAAAGAAGGCAGAAGGAAGGCCAAGAGACACCTGAAAACATGCTCAAAGTCACTATTTATCCGACAGATGGAAATCAAAACAACAATGCAGTACCATCTCACACCTCTCAGAATGGCTATCATCAACAAATCAACAA